AGCCTTTGAGAAGATGGTTTCAGTGAGGTTGATCAATAACTTTCTACTTAACGTTCATGAAGGAAAAGATCAACGAAACATGCTTATGAATGAACATAACTGCACCCTTTTCTCAGTAAAAAAAGTCATGTCATATATAAAGCAATGTCTCAAGAGAGAGAAACGCCGCATAGATCAGTCTACTATCTTGAGAGTCTTTTCGGAATCCAACTGATCTAACAGGCTTGTGCTTGCTCATGAAGATCACAATTTTGAGTAGATCGAATTTTACGACTTTTGAACTGTCTTGGAAAATGTTGATTTGTTTACCATCAGGCGGAGATATGTTTGTTCGAAAATAATTAGATCAGCATTCGGTAGTATATAGCTCGAAAACTTGATAGTGGGATCTTAGTAGTCCAAGCACATTACATTGAGTGTCCCATAAGATCTTTTGCACATAAAGCCGTTTAAAATATTAGTGTTGTTCCTTGCAAATATCACCAGACGGGCCTGTTAATCTATTCTTTTGAACTTGGATTTCAGGTTACATTCTCTGATTAATGTCTTATGATGTAACTAACTTAAAGTGTCGTTAATAAGATACTATTTTCTCATGAATGTGCGCCTACACTTGATGGTCTTGTGTATAACAAAGCTAATCAACAAGAGAAGTTGAGCGGTAAGTGTTGACGAAAGGAATGGTATAGAATGTTCTCAGGCACATCTTAACATTATTCAACATCCATGTAATAGCACATACTCCACCAAAATATATTTTAAAGCGAGCTCGTACATCACCATGGTCAGTTTCGTGGCAGTTTTTAAGCATGTGTTTTGTGGCTGATACATGAACCATGGAAACAATGAGTGATAATAGTGAGCGTTAACTAAATCCAAGTTGGGCTAAAACTGTTATGTTTTCCGTTGAGATCACGAACTGAATAATGTTAGATCACCACTGAAAACCCGGGGGCACCGGACGGCCGTTTCGTCTTATTGTGGGACTCCTCAGCAGTGCGCATCCACGACCTCGCTCGTTGGATTCGAACCACGGGCCCTCAGTCTCACGCACGAAAGCTCAATCTACTGGACAACTTAGTCGGCATCCAATGGCGTTAATGTCTAGCCTCAACCAATTCACGAAATTGCGCGACCATCTTCCATTACACGGAAATAGATACCCGTCTCTATCCAACACGGATTAGCATCACTGGTCACGGCTTCTCCCTGGGACTTTGAGAACTCCCTCACGAAGATAGTCACTAGTGAGTAAGTGATAGTTAACAGCATGTCGTATCTGTGGATTGAAACGGCTGAAGACAGTCAAAAACAGCGGATTATGAGCAGATCATCTATGTAAATGGTGAGTCTACTGGAGTTGGATAAGAATGATGTAACCTCCTAGCTCATGTTGAAGACAAACTAAGTAGTTAATGTCTGACCCGGGTTACTCAACGTAATGCGTCTACCTTATCGAGTACATTGAATAAATATAGTTAAAAAATAACAGCACGTATTACTACTGACAGATTAGGAAAGTACATAGAAATGACACTGTCAAATGGGCCGTCTATGATGTGCGGCTAATGAATCCTTGTTGTTTATTGTTGACTTTGATGGGGTTTGGAAATTCTTCAGAGCTCAGTGGTATTCTGTCTAACGTAGTAATGGTCCTATTCGATAGGTGGTTTGGATAAACGTCGGTGATATTTCTCCGGCCTTATATGGTGTTTCATTTTTTGTAAATCACTATCGCAATATGTATTATTTAATATTTTTAAAAATATCTTTAACACGTAGGTTGTAGATCTTAAATGCCACAACAAGCATTGAGAATAGAATTTTTATTACAGAGTTGACCATCTGCTCAGTGCGCTACGTAGAGTGTTATGACCTTGCGGATACTGTGAATGTTGTAAATGTCAAAACCCAATTAAAAAATTTATTGTGACTCATAAAAATAAACGAGATATTCAACGGCACGGCTATAATTTATGGATGGACCAACTTTTGTTATGCAGGTGTGGTAAGTTTATCGAGCATTATTCGATGCCAGTCAATATTAATTAATTCATATACATTCTAAGTTAAGATAATATCACATGATATGAAGTGTCGTATTCGCGTCTCGTATGGGCTTGAGTACTCCTGTCTTTATCTAGTTCATCCTTAAATTATAATTGACAATTGCTATTACAAAAAGCATTTAATAACGACTGTTAGTGGTTTAAAAATAGTTCCCTAAACAAAAAATGCTACTCAAGCAGATGGAAACTGAGGAAACGAGAGAACAAAGGCAATATCCTCCTCGTTTTAGACCCACTCACTTTTATGTAATCAGGCCTAGGATGGAATTTATATATATATATATATATATATATATATATATATATATATATACTTCTTACTTGACATTGTTGGTTAAAGATTCACATACAGATGATATCGTCTTACTGTGCGATAATGTCCAAGCCATGCAATCCACACTTAATCAGTTGGCAATCAACGTCCGTAGGTACGGTATTAGCTTTACACCTTCGAAGTGCAAAGTACTTCTAGAAGACTGGCAGGATTCTAATCCTGTACTCACTCTGGATGGTGAGCAGATAGAAGTAGTCGAGAAGTTCGTGTATCTAGGTAGCTGCATAAGTGCTGGTGGTCGCGTGGGTGATGAGATCAATGCACGTATAGTGAAAGCCAGAGCGGCTTATGCCAATCTGTGCCATCTTTGGCGCCTTCGTGATGTCAGTCTGGCTGTAAAAGGTGGGATCTACAACGCGTCGGTGAGAGCGGTTTTGCTCTATGCTTGTGAAACCTGGCCTGTTCGAGTTGAGGACGTTAGACGACTCTCTGTGTTCGATCATCGCTGTCTCCGAAGGATTGCTGACATCCAGTGGCAACACCATGTTAGTAATGCAGAGGTTCGGCATCGTGTGTTCGGGCACAGAGATAAAGATTGCTGCAAAGGACTGGCTTGTGTTGGTCCTTCACGACTCCCTGTCTGGGGTCCGAGAGATGGTGCAACACAGTGGCTAGAGACGTTATCAGACATGGCTCAGAATAGAAGCCAGTGGCGATTCTGCTGTAACCTTCTTTTACTTCATAAAAAGTGGTTGCTTCTTCCTTAACTGAAAGATTTCTTCTGATTGTATCTTTCCGTTCCCCCATTTTTACCATTATTATTATTACATCACCTTACATCAATCTCTTCGTTATTAGTCTCCCTTTTTTCCTTCCCCTTAAATTCTCATTGTTTTGTGTGGCGCATATATATTTGGCGCATTCTTGTACCAATATTTATGTTCAAATAAATAAATAAATAATTTGGTCGTCATCTAAAAAACTCAATTAGTTATCAAATCTTATCTAACATTTCATTTCTTACTATGGTCCCAATACTTATTACTTAGTGTTGCTCATTAATACAGGCAAGTTATGTTTCTCATACTGATTTACTCAGTATCCCCCCATTTTTGTATTTAATGTGTATGTCTTTCGTAATATGCTGATATATCGAACCATCTTCTCTCCAATTGATCAAAGCACTTGTTTGTAGGTGGGAAAGGCAAGTGAATAAATATATAACTCCTGGTTAGCTTATAATCATGGACTTGTGTAGATTAATTTAAACCAGTTGAGTGGTAAGTTGATTAAAGAGAGGCAATAAGTTTTTGATGAGAGATAATTATTCAAACCGCACTCATTGTAATTTAGTCCCTTGATATTTATTTGGTATCTGTAGGATTGTCATTTTAATTAATTTTAGTGAACATAGTTAAGCCATGATACTGTTTAAACATTCGTTACACTAATCACTTTCATCTTTAATAGCTTAGCAACAAGCAGATGAAATTAGCTTTACATACATAAATCGCTATGATGTCTAGTCATTCCAAAAAGGGTCATGAAGTTATTTGTCATCTTGAGTTTGGTGCACCCTATAACTACAGTATTTATGCAGAAACTTTGACTTTCATTAATAACGTAGACAAAAAACACAACAAATTGTACTGTATAAAAGTAAGCTATAGAGGGACAACTATTTTCACTATCCAACTTAAATGTTTTAGTTTTTCTTTTCTTTTAAATTAATATTAGTTAGTAGTTGATCAAATATTTTGTTCTCGGTAAGTTTAGGTGAAAAACCACTATCGTTATCACAATGGAAACCATTGACCAACTAATGATGATCTAGGTTCAAATCTCACTGGGAACATCAGTTCCTTTACGGTCGCAGATAAGCGCTGCTGGCGAGTACAAACTAGCATAAAACTACAAGTCCAGGGTTTCCTGCCAACTAATTCCAATAGTTTAACAAAAAACAGTGCATGCGTTGTCTAGACTAGTGGTCACGTTAAAACTTGATCGATGGAATTTGACCACCACCAAAGATTGGACAAACATACCATTAGTCATCACTATTCTATGACTATCCAATGTACATGTTTATTTAAACATCCCTACATTAATTTTTGTATGAGGGTTAGGCATATTGTAAATGCTTGAACTAAAGTGGTTGTAGTGCAGTTTGAAATTACAGGTTAGTGGAGTGATAACAAAGTACTATATCCTTATATGTAATCTTTCTTTTATATATTACCACCTCTGAATTAACTACTTTTATGAATCCGGTGTCCATCTTGTGTTAATGAGGTATGGCAACTTGGACCGATGCATATATTTGCCTGGTCCTACGTTGTAGCTGACTGACTGACTGAATTAAACCACTTAAATTCTGGTTAGTTGATATGGGTTTGCTGAGTAGAAACGAATATCATGTGTAGTCTTTAGTGAATAACTAATGTAAGTATATTATTTCAACAAGAGACCATCTGTGAACTGAATAGCTAACTTCACGGTTGTAACGTCTGGTAACAGGTTTTTAAACTACAGATTGTTGTATTCTGCAGCCGTCCAACTGCTCTGCTGATGTATGTACTTCTTATATACGTAATCAAACCAATTACCTGAGTGAGGAAACGGAAAGTGAGTAAGATGCTTCTGTTGGCAAACTGAGTCGAAAGTACATGCACAACTTATAAATTTGTCTGTTTTCTTTAAAATTAAGCCGGATTTTCAACCACGGGCGTATATATTTCCGCAGAAAGTTAAGCCAAATCTAGACCAGCAACGAGCGTCCGCCAACATCTCCCATTTATTATTGCTCTACATCTAATTGGGCCAACTTACAACAAATAAACCTTCTTGGTGAGTACCAGCCATCACATACTTCGATATAAAATTTCCTGTCACTAGCCTTCGACTATTTAACATTAAATATTTTTGATGATATTATATTGACTATTTTGTAATTATTTTCTACTGACTTTTTTCTGTATTTTCTAAATTTAGGCAAGAGGCAGTGCGAAATAGTTAGTTCATCGAATTTATCCACAGGTCTATCGGGATTATGATATATCTGTTACCTAATATGCAGAATTTTTATTTATTAATCAGACAAAATAGAAAGTTTCTGATCGTGTGTACATGTTTGCTGACTATCATATTTCTTTACGTAATTATTTCATTGTGGAATCCATATCCATCTGTAACAAGTCATCGACTTACATCTGTGAATTATTTAACAGGGAAAGAAATTTCCCATCAAGAAAAAAATGGAAATTTACTTCTAAATTCAGCATCTACTTTGCCATTTCTTATTGATGAATTAATGCGTATCAATCATTCTGTTCACGACGAGTTAATTGATTTACATCAAAGACGTAAAGAATTAGTGGACACTAATGCTGTCCTTCAAAATCAAGTAGAACGTTTACGATCTATTCTTGTAGAGCATTCAAGGCAAATAATACGTCTTCGAGTATGTTACTATCAAATAATTAAATATTTTCTCATTATTGACGAGTAAAGTAATATGAATGAATAAGTATATCACTATTGTTAATTTTTGTGATTAACTGAGTGATCACTGGGTTTATGTATAAATGAATAATGTGTAAAGTAGGTGTTACTTATTGTTGTGGTATTTACGAATGTTTGGTTATAACTATCTCCATTTGACTAAACAAGGTCAGCGTTCTAAACGCAATGTTGTCCCTCTGTTTTTGTCTTTAATAAAATGTATTAATTACTGATTCCTTCGTAGATATCTCTTACGATAGATAATAACACACAAGTAGGGGCTAGAAATCTATTTTTATTTTCATGTTGTAAAAGCGATATTTTTCCGAAGTTCTGTGCTAGGTATATTGAGAATATTGTAAAAATTACGTAACATTGATTTTGATTAATATCTATCTTATAGTTAGACTAGGAATAAGCATTTCCTCAGTGTCTGGATAACGCATATCCAAATCTAGCATCCAATGTCAGTACATTCCATATCAGGTCATAACCGAATGAAGAAGCATGGAACTAAAAATTTCGACTCATATAGTATCTAATCACTTCAAATTTAACGCACAGAACATGAGAAGGAGTTCAATCTAATAAAACTTGTATCTTGAAGTGAAACGGGGTTCGGACCATAGACAAACCAGATGAAGGTCAGATTTTGTAACTGTCAAGTTACTGTCGCATATCCCCGTATGTAATTCACAGCTGCTTCTGCTAATCCGAATTCAATATTCTTGTAAATCAGAGGAAAATAGTTGTGTTGAAGTGACAGAAGTAAGTAAATTAGTATCGATCGTATTGATGTTTGTGGTTTATCGGTTACAAATAATTACAACTGACGTAGTACATGCATCTCTGTAGGTTATTCTGTGCATTGGGTAGTATTAACTGACGATCAGGGCTACAATGGATGAATTAAACTCATAATTAGTAGTATCATTAACTTTCATACCCAAAGTTTGTCCGATTACATATTTGCTTGGTAAGTGAGTTATATTCTGAAATCCTCTAGGATGATTTGTCACTTCTAAATAAACTTTTGTATTTTAGGCCACCTTAGATTCGTACAAACAAACTCTTTCAGATAATACTGCATCTTCAGCTGTATTTTATTCCAAATGGCCAGTTGTTCATCTTAAATTAAATAATGAGAGCATAAAGTATCCTTCTGTCATAAGCTCATCAAACGAATTATGCACCATAGAATCCTGTATCAATTGGAATCGGTGTCGATTTATAGGATTTTTGAAGTTTTGCACTGATTATTATGGTTCAAATAATACTATGTCATTTGAACAATTACTTCAAAGTTCTCCACATTTTACTGAAAGATGTAATATTGAAAATACTTCATGTTTAAAACTGACTTTTGGTGTTGAAGGTGCTCAAAAATGTATACAGGAATCTGAACTGACCTCAGAAACTTTACCAACTTGTATTGTCTTGTTTTTCAATGCATTGGAACTTGATCAAATATATCGGAAATATAATTATTCAAAAAATCATCTTAACTTCTTACTGGTCGCCTACTCATTTCCTGAAAATACATTTCGCCGAGGATTCGATTTCTTGTTGCCAATAAATTACGATATTTTATGTAAATACTCGAAGAAAATTTGCTCTATTTCTTCACCTTTGCGTTTACTACCAGGAAGACGTGCATTATTACTCAGCTTTAATATTGGGATATTGTCCAAAAGTCGTCTTGCTGAAAATCACTCATCATTGGATAATTTAGTTATTGAACACTTGAAAAAGTTGGATAACGATAGTCATAAAAAGAATGAATCAACCTCTTTTATTTCCATATCAATTCATAAAAATACCAATGAACTTGAAAGTTGTTGGTCTAATAAATATAGAGAATTCCTTTCCCGAAATTCCCTATCTGATACTGATTGGTTTCCATGTGAAGATTCTTCATCAGTAAGTTACATTGTACAAGTCCATGTTTAGAGCTAATATTGCCTTAGAATTAGAAAGTTTTGATTACATAAGTAATAAACCTAACCAACTAAAAATTGATTTTGTAAGTTTTATATTGGGAGTATCTGCCCGTAGATGTTCTTAGAATTTGGAAGTTTTGTGTGCTATTTGAACATAGACCACTTGTGTATTGTTAAAAACATCAGCGATCAATAATTAAAGCCAAATGTTCCAACATACTAGTCAGACATGTAAGAAAAGACATTGTTAACGAAAATCCCATTAGTAAGAAACGAATTACTGGTGGTTTAAGTCGCTGTTCAGACATTCTGCTAATTGTTTCTGGAAACATTACAGCTGACGCATAACAACCCTTTAAATTTCAAACTGTCGATAAAAAGCTAAATGGATCACTGATTTAGATTCACGAACTGTGTTTCAGAAAGCTACAATGCAGTTAAATAACCATAAGATAGTTTATTCTAATATACTGTAGGGTTTTAGCACTCGTTATCAACTAGTAAATCCCGTATTCGAATACACTGTAGCAACCTCATCATGAGTAACTGATGAACACTATTAGTCACTACGACATATCATCATCATTGCAGTGTACTATTTTACATTTAAGTTGTTGGATAGTTTCCTTATGTGTGCCGAGTTTTCCTGTTTTACAAAAACAGTTTTAAAAGAACGGAATCAGAAATTCTCAGTTTGCACTTTCATTATTGCTAAAAGAAAATTAACATAAGAACCAAAGAAATCGAATATGACAGCAGACTAAATGTAAGAAATATAATTTATAATGAATAAATGAAATTTAGGGATAAAATGTGTGTAATTATATTAAAACTCAAGATCTAGGATAACATCTAGACTGAATACATCGGCGTTTTTTTGCCCTTGTCTTCATATACATATCATTTCACTACACTCAATGACTTTGTGAATTAATAATTTGTACTATTTTGCTCGGTCTCTGATCATTATAGAATCTATCCCTTCTATGGTACATAGCATGAGCATATTGGACATCCATTTCAAGTTAATCTTATTGAGTTAAAATTGTTTAATGTTATACCAAGAATTTTCTTTGGAATCATAATGAATGACTGTAACATAGTCCTATCCTCGTTTTCACAATGCCAGTTATCTTATTATTGATGAAGAAGACGTTGAATATAACATTTATTTGTTATCTATAATTGTATTTCTTGTTGTCCATATGCTTAAATATTGATTCAATTCAGATAATATCTTGAAGTTTACATTGAATTATCTGTTTAAAGTACATTGTTATTTCTTTTACTTAATGGACCGTGTATTATCAAAGTGATTAAGTTAGTCATCCATTCATTTTAATTTCTAGAATTAGTATTTTTAATGGTAAGTTAAAAGAGGGAGACGAACATTTCAATCATGTTTTTTTTTAATCCATGCACGTCATTATTTCCCCTTGTACCTTTTTTATTGTTTTCAATTGCTGAGTTTTGGTTAACTGCTAAACGAAAAAAGTGTGTTGGCAATTAACTGTAACGTTTAGTTTTTTTTAAAAATACAGCGTAACTGTCTTTTTGTTTTAGTCATAAAATCTGAATATGGCAACTGAATAAAGCTCTGTGTGTGTGTTTGTGCACTTGTGTAACAAAAATAATAGTTACCAGTTTTATTCTTTAATATATATATATATATATATATATATATATATATATATATGCGATTATATTCAGGGTCCTGTAAGTTATACACTAGCGACACCATCTTATAAATATGCACAGGGATTTTATGTGTTTATAACAGATTTTCATGTATTGAATATTCGTATTAATGTTCTTCTTAAACTGTCATTTTCAGGTTTTGTTCATATAATTAAATATCCGTATACATTTTTATATACTCGACTTAGATTAACATACATTGTTTTAATGTACAACAAGATGAAGTTTATACTTTTTATCTAATATTTGGTATTCCAGTATTTTAATCAGTGAATCATCGTCTCAATAAAATTGGACAGTTGGTTCTTTCCAAAGGATTTTGGTAGAAGTTGTATATACTCAGTATGTTCAACAAAACAAACAATTAATTCGTAAAATGAAGTTGAAAATGCTTTATTGATAAGGTTCTTTTGGAAAAGTAAACAACCCTACAAAGTCATACTACATCGCTGCTAAAAACCATCCTGTTCATGATGTAATCATAATTTATCAAGTTTTTAAGTTTAATGAATCTCGCTGAATATTTTTAGGATCACCAAGTGTAATGTTATTCTTCTTTATGTTCTCTATTTTATTCATCTTTTTTTCTAAACGTAATTCCCCTCACTTATAAGACAAAATTTATGTATTGAGTCCTGAATTATTTTAAATTTTTATGAGTATGCTTACGTTGAGCAGTCATGGTTATCCAACTTTTTAATGTAACCCGATGATGACGTATTAAATTAACTGTTTTGGTTGAAATTACTGCGCTTGGATGATGAAGCAATGTCCCTCCCGTATTCAGACCAAGGAACTACAGCCTATGTGTGATTTCAGTGGCTCGTTAGTTAAAAGACTCGTTTTGTAGGCGATGAGCCCTAGGTTCGAGTTCCACCCGAGATATTATATTTAACCCTCGAATGGTATGTTAAGTTCATAGACTGTGTTTTCTCTTGCTGTTTTATAGCACTTTAGTTAAAGTTGTATTTAAATAATCTTCAGCTTCTTCGCAAGTCAACCTTTGGATTAATAATGACTGGTGCAAGGAACTCGTATTTGAGTTTAGGATTACGAATTCAGTTGATTAACTGTTTAGCTAATGGTGCTATTCCTGTTTTTATTGGAAATAACGATATATATTCTGATGAAGCAATCAACTCGGAGTTATTGTCTAAAGTTATTGTACACGTTCCTAAACCTCGAGTCGAGGAACTTCCAGCTTTACTTCAGTCTTTGCCTGAAGCGCATATCGTTGAGATCCGCCGACAGGTTAGTTCTACCACTAAAAAATTATTTAAATTAGAGAGTATTATATGTCTTTTCATCTTGCTTTCTTTCTGTTTCACCTCCTCCACTTCATATCGTATTGTTTACGTATCTCACATCAATTACTAACAAGGATAGTATCTTACAAGTACATATTAGAATCAGGCATATTTCTACTGTGTATGCAATACTGCAAATATTAATGATTCAACTTTATTGTCTATGAATTTCGAGTTCTTAAGAAGACCATTTGACATATCCAGTCTTATATTTTAGTGAAATAATTGGTTTATTATGGTTATTTCCTTCAACACCATAGGATTATCTACTTCCATCAAATGCTGCTTTTCTACAGTGCAGTTTTTCTTTATTTGGCTTGTCATATTCTTCTTAAAATCAACTCACCAGCAAGATACAGATTTTTGTTGTTATCTCCAATTCACTTTTGTGTTTGGTGGTGATACTATTGGTCCTGTAAAATTAACGTAGATTAAGATTTGAATCAGTGACTTAATTGTTAAAAGTCGATGTTTTTTGGTTTCCAAGTGACATGCTTAATAAATGGTATCCTTATAGCACATTTATTTATTTATTTTAACACACAGATATTGGTAAAAGGAGGCACCAAACAGATATGCATCACATAAATCATTCGATTTGTGTGACGGCTGGGATACTGCCCGGGTGCCCAAAACGAACCAGGTGGTTCCCTTAGAGGACTATACCCGGGGCCTTTGACCTAAAGGTCTGACCCACAAGGCAGTAGAGCATCGTGAGGAGATGCAGTCCCATGGTAGCCGGCGACCGACGATTGGTTCATACGCCATTTGTTCCTTCAGGATACTGGAGCCCATGTGCACCATTGTTTTGTAATCAGGGTTCTCCAACTCGAGAGGGAGAGCGGACTCCCCACTCTCGGCCGTATCAGGGCATTTGGGGGCCTTATAGCACATAAATAGTTTGATTATTTGTTGTCTTAACTATCTTGACTAACAAACATAAAAATAGATTTAGTAGATGCTTTATCTGTCCGTTGTCGGTTATTGACTTGTAATATATAAATAATCTACTTCGTTGATCGTATACTTGTCAAATATTCTGAATTTACTTAAAAATTTAGTACTAAACCCGGTAAAAAAAACATTGGACGCCTTCATGTATACCAACAGTCAAGTGCTAAGCTGATTTACGATCTCAATAAATCAAAAAATATCCGGTTGGTGATGTTTAACTTTTCAATATAGATGATAATTAAGAAGTCTATTTTACTGCAAATAAGGTGACTATCTGTTTTTCTGTGCTAAGTAATAGGAATTTTGCGACAAAATATTATACAATTTCAAAACAACGAAATCAGGGCATTAGATAATGAAGAAGAATGTTAGTTTTCTTTTATTGAGACCATGAATCAATCAATGTTAGACTACCGTTGAAAACCTGGAAGCACTGGACGGCCGTTTCATTCTAGTATGAAACTCCTCAGCACTGCACATCCACTATCTCACACGAAGGACTCAAACGCAGGGTCTTCAATCTCGTGTGAACGCTCAACCTCTAGATCACTGAGCCGGAATCAAACGGTGTTGATGTCCAACTTTAACCAATCCACGATATTGGGTGACCATCTTCGGATGTGAGGCGGCTACCCACCCACTGCTGAGGAGTCCCATACTAGGAAGAAGCGGTTGTCCAGTGGTTTCAGGTTTTCAGTAGTGGCCTAAAATTGATCGGTTCATGATCTCAATATAAAATCAACAATTCCACAACCTCTGAACCACCTTCATTACGTTTACTATATACGATTACTTAACTTTCCCTCGTCTTTTCTCAAAATGTCTTTTTTCAGGGCCAGATTTTATTTCAACGTTACTTTAAAAATAAATCATCACAACTTACCACTTTATTGTTAGCTGTTAGTCGACGTCTTGGTTTTCCCCAACCTCCTGCTCCTCACTGGTCTAGTTTACCGGCTTATAAAGAATTTCACCCACCTAAACAGTATCCAATACATAAAGAGAATAATTTTCAAGTTGATTTAGATGATTTCCTCGGTCCAGTTGGACCACAACAATCTTCCATTAGTTATCAATCGAATTATACAGGTCCTGGTGGATCAGCTCGATTGGCTAGCGTATCTTTTTACGGTGGGATTAGTGACATGGTTAATCCATTATGGTTATTTCCTTCCACACCATGGGAACCTCCACTTCCATCAGATGCTGCATTTGTACCATGTGAGTTTACTTGATATGATTTTGTTCTAATAATGAGTACTTTATACCTGTTTGAAAGTAGTTTTATTTTACTAGTAGACTACATTTTTAAAGATATTGAATAGCTCTGTGTGTAATTGCCCATTTATTACTAGTTGGTTTATTCATTCATATACAACCCAGATGCGACGTTGATAATGGTCGTCTGAATTTAGTTGAATTTAGGAAAATAGTAGGGACATAACATTCTCGGTAGGTGTCGATTGATCAGTTTGATTCGGTACAATCCAATCCACTTTATAGAAACATAGTGTGATAATTTTTACAATGGCCCAATTAATTTGATATAGTTACTGGAATGACTAAAGCTGCACACCAAATGATTTGTTCACAGAATGAGCTTCTAAACACCAACGGAATCGATTCTTGAATACGTAATCATACTAATCAACCGATTGAATAAGTGAGTACATCATATTAAGAAATCAAATCTATCACTGACAAGCCAAAATCTTGAATCGAATTAGTTTGACTATGAGATACACTTGTCAGTTAACAAATGATTAAACAAGACTGAAAATAAATGTCACAAACCAGTCAATAATGACCAACTGGTAACTCCTTGTAACAGGACTTTTTAGTAAAATAATGGTTTAGTGGTTGAAACATTCATCACAATTCATACACTTCAGTTTTTAATGTAAGAAATAAATACATTTTTGAGTATTTTTCAATTATAAACTTAAAGATTATCTGTATAAAGTTTTCTTAAAAAAATTAACTTAATTCGATAATGAAGCCAGAGTGCATACTTCTATAAATGATATAAAATTAGAATATAAAATTTGTTTGGCCAAGCAGGAATATTGGGACAAATTGGTATAAATTTTTGTCGGTAAGAAACTTGCTAATATTGGTGGTATGAATGGAAATCCATCACGGTAGTGAACAGCTGTACGTGTATGCTTTACATCACGTTTTTGCAATTTATTGTGCAATAATGATGTGTGTCTTACTTTCGTTTACTTCTATACTACTGTCTGCATGTCATTCTTACTCGCTTGTCAAATTTTCATTTATGAAGTTAACATTTAGTGTAATATATACTAATTCATTTTAACTTGCATTATTTTTCTATTTACTTTTACATTTATTTTGTAGATGGTTCTACAAATCATGGTTTAAGACCAATTAACCATACTATAAATCTTGCAGGATATGAATTCAATATGAATTTAGGTGGAATGTATCCATATGAACAGTTTACTAGTAAGTATCGAACTAATTAGCAGAGGGATTAAATCCGTCAGGGAGCATCAGTTCCCTCAAGATAACAGGTACACCTTTCTGTCGAGTGCCAAGTAGCACGAAACCTAGGTCCAGGGTTTTCTGTTGACTACCTCCAACCACCATTTTATCTCAAAGGTAAAGTGTTTTTTTCAAGCTCTAAGTTAGATCTCTGTTGGGGTCATGAATGCACATTACAGAGAGGTCCCATACTAGGACAAAACAGCCGTCAAGTGCATTCTGTTTTTCATTGGTTGTTAAAATAAAATCATAGAGGTGTAAAAAATAATAAATAAGGTGATATGATGAGCATTTATGAATAAAACAATGAAAATATAAGACATAAGTAAAGAGGGGAATGCAGTAATAATAATAATAATAATAATAATAATAATAATAATAATAATAATAATAATAATAAGATAATCAGAATAATTAAAGCTAAGGTAACGATAACGATAAGGCGTACTTCTTTTGTACTCATAGTTCTGGTTTAAGCTCCTGGATGGTAAGAGCTTCGGCTATTTTTAAGAGTTGGATACAAAGAAATCTGGGTAGATTTGAACGAATCATATAAACAACCTTAAAATAAATTTGTGGATCTGTAGAATGGTTATGGTCGATTAGGTCAAAAAATGGTTTCCTACTGCTATCTTGGAAGTGTATCTGTCGCAGCATACATCACAGTTCATGAATTTTGTTTCCATAATCTTGATTTAGATATAGCCAAATATTAACACCTTATTAAGCTGTTAACACTGTAAGAGTCTGTGGGCATCATAATATCATCAAACCGTCGTTAACGTAACACAAGAGGAAATTTAAAATTTTAGACTTTCGAAATCTGCCTTTGAATTATTTAAATAGTTTCTCATTCGTAATACCTGAGCTCTTGTTTATATGGTTTCTGCCGGCAAGATCAGTAAAGCTTAGTGCTAATGATTTCACTGTCGAATTTCTGTCGGTTCATTTTAGTCGGGAGAGACTTATTTAGCGTTCGTTAACCATAAAAGTATTTCACTGAAATCGCGAACCGATCAAAGTTAAATAAGCATTGAAAACCTGGAAGCACTGAATGACCGTTTTTTCATAGGATAAGACTTCAGAAGTGCACATCCACGATTTCGTACGCGGAAATCGAGCCCAGGAAAGAGGTAGGATAAATTGTGTGATAACTTTAGAGGTTGTGAAGGATTTATATAAAATTACTGCAATTAGAAATTAAGTAGGATTTGTAGAGTGTACATAAAAGAATTAAGTGAAAACCTATGAATAAATTGATGGTTTTTGTGACTTTGTTTATCTGACTCAATTCAGTCGACTCTCATAGACGTAGAAAAGGATGATCAATACAATAAAACTACTGTTCATTATATGCCTCTTACAAGTAAGTCATTTTTACAATCTGATCAAGGATAATAAGAGCATACGAATGTTTAACCAATATGAAAATAACCTGACTAATGAAAGCCTATTGGTCCACCATACGTCATCTAGTCAGTATTTGTTTTTCACTGGAATACTTCGCAGTACCTGTTTATTGATTCGTTGATTTATCTATTTTCTTTTCATTTTTTTTATAGTTCTAATCCTTACTTATGATCGGTTTAATTTATTATGTCAAACGTTAGAAAGTTTTCTAAATCTTCCATATTTGCATTCAGTTTTGGTTATATGGAACAATCCTATTCCACCCAATCCTGATCTTAGCTGGCCACAATTACATGTTCCAATCAAAGTAAGTTAATTTTCAGTTAGTTTTTCATTCATTCTGAATTAAGTTTTATGTGACATCATTGTTGATCATCATTTCCCATCATTTATAGTCAAACATTATAGTGTTAATTTCTTCAGAAAACATTAAGACTCTACGTAATCTTGGATGAAATATGAAAGTTCATTGGAATTATTTTCAATCTAGTCACATTTTGTTTTGATAAAAATTTTCTGTCTAGTTCGATTGATTTAATAATAACTTATTCTAAACCATAATCGGACCGAATAAATATAATAACGAATTTTCAAAAGGTTTTGTGGAGATTAGTTTAATTCACAAGTTGTATTTATTATCCGTTCATTTAAACTACAACGGTCAGATCGTTAATGACCTGCCTCAAAATGTTCCTGAAGTTTTAGTAAAAAGTTATGACTTGGAGTTCAGGCATGTCAGTTGTGATGCAGATGTCATCAATAATATTGGATGATTGTTGTCACCAGATCACAAATTGATTGAAGTTGGAATTAGACCACTAGACGTTGATTTAATAGTTCTTATTCTTCTACTTCTGTCGTAAGACTTAAAGATCCTGGATCAGATCCTTTGTAGGATCTTAGCTGGATGCTACCTAGGAGTCCAATGCTAGTACAAAACAGCCATTTCATGCTTTTTGATCTCAAACAATACCCCAGCTGGACTCAGTATGTGATGCATATAACCTATAATTAATAACAAATGTGTTAATTTCCACAATTAATTACTTAGTTGTGGCTGTTTGCAGTAATGGTGTTTTTATTTGTCTATGAGAGTAACTTGTTTATAATGATTAAGAAATTAATTATCCTGGAAACGTTTTCATTGTTAACATAAATTTCAAAAAGAATATCAACTGTGTTTTTCTTAAGAGACATAAAACAGTATGAGACGAAACATAAAAATACAAATTACACCTTCTTATTCCTTTTCCTACTAAATTCGATGACGCAACAGTATCACGATACATATATATGTATATAGTAACTCACTGATGACAATGGTGGATGTGTCGCTCAATTTCGTGGATTAGTTAACGTTAGACATTAACACCGTTGAATGCCGGCCCAGTGGTCTAGTGGTTAAGCGCTCGCGCGTGAGACTGATAGGTCCTGGGTTCAAATCTTGCGGGGGGGGCGAGATCATGGGTGCACGCTGCTGAGGAGTCATGCGATAGGACGAAACGGCCGTCCAGTGCTTCCAGGTTTTCCATGGTGATCTAGCTTCAACTGACTCATGATCTCAACCATTGGAATTAATAAATAGATGTTACAGTTGGTTTCCAAAGGATTTTAAAACAGTTTTGTTCATGGTAATTATCATTTAGACAGCATTTTCGAGCAATCTAATAAATTTGTCCAATTGCTCCTATGATTGTTTCACAGATGTTTGAAACTGTTATGTGTTTTTTACCGACTTACTTGTTCACATAAACAAAAATTACAACTGAACAATAATTTTTTTATCTGAAAATTTTGGTCAAATGTTAGTCTAAATTATTATCATTAATTTTAAATGTAATTTAATGGTTCACATTCTTGTTTAGATTGATTGAATAGACAAATTTTTGTTCTTTTAAGTTTAATATCTCAAATGGCATTTTGATAAGTCATTTTAAAGCCTAGAGTTTATATCGAGTTTATTGTGCTTGAGAGCCCGTCACTTTTCATTGAACATTAAAAGCGAACAAATTATTTGTAGTAAACTAATTATTTCTCTTTCATAGGTTATCCATAGCCAAAATAACAGTTTGAATAATCGATTTTTGCCTTATGATTTAATCGAAACTGATGCAATACTATCCATTGATGATGATATTCAACTACGTCATGATGAAATTGTTTTTGGATTTCGGTAAGTACAATAACACGTAAATATCTCAGATTTTCAAGTATTCTTTCGATTTGGTTATTAAAAATTTTATAATTGAAATGGGTCATTGTTCTTAAACAGTTGGTTTTCAAATAAAAGGATAATTGAGTCGTTTAAGGGCTTGATATAAAGCTATCAGTCAGTAAATTCAAGTTGTACTTCCATTCTTTACTACTTACGTTTGAGCAACTGGATAATATTTGTAACTCTCATACAATAAATGTGTTTCTAAAATCCTAGTACACAAACCTGTACTTCGTCTTTGACATATTTAAAATGTTTTCATTAGTCAGGCAGACAGTAAACATTATCTTTATGGAATGATTCTTCAAAGGAACTCCTAATCAGTATTTTTAAACAAACCGCTCGTCGTGAGGCCTAAAGTTCCTGAGTTCGACTCATGGGAGAGTTCGTGGGTGTGGGCTGCTATGAAATCCTGTAATGGTACGAAATGATGAATCAATACCTTTTAATTATTCGATGATTTTCTCGTTAACATCTGTTTGTGTTGGAAACTATCATAAAATTTAGTAATTTTCGCAAACATCTCTTGTTAATAATGTATGCTGTAGTCATAAGTGGCTTATGTTGGGAAGAATTTCAAAAGTGTAGTGAGGAGACGGGATCGATGAAGTCAACTCTTTATTGTTTACTTGTTTCATATATATTATTGTTCACTACTATAAAAATATTCATTCTATGATTGACCCTTGACATTTCAGCGTTTGGCGTGAACATCGTGATCAGTTGGTTGGTTTCCCAGCACGAGCTCATTTTTGGAATGGTTCTGATAGTTCATGGTTTTATAATTCCGATTATACGTGTGAATTCTCAATGATTCTTACTGGAGCTGCATTTTTTCACAAGGTATTTCATTTTTTATGGTCAATTTTTATAATATTTCATTAATAATCATAACAATAATAATAATGAAACTTAATTATGAGTATAAGCTGATTCAGTAGTAGGTATGAGTTAAACTTCTCGGACTTAATGAAATTCTAATATATCAATAAAATTGTGTGTTGAAATCATACCCGTTGCTGCACTTGTAACTATCAAAGTTTAGTCAGTTTATGTATGATTGATATTGGGAATATGTGTCTATGCTTGTATAAAGGAGATTATGATTATGACTAGGACACAAGATAGAATAAACTATTATTCATTTGTCTTTTCATTCTAAAAGTCGATTTATATAGAAATTTCTCTAATCTGGTGCCTTTTATATCAAAACTTGTCAATGCACTACCAAACATTTTGTCATACCTTCGTCTTATCTTAGTCAAACGATGATTAATTTTCACAGGTTTTTTAAAGACAGGTCTATAAATATATATATTGCTCAAATTTCTGACAACAACGGAAACCAACGTTTTTACAACTGCGATACAAGATTCCGGCTTCATCCAACAGAAGTCCCTAAGTAAGCCTGGTAGGTTTTATACAGAGGAGGCTCAATTGGAAAGTGAAGGCGGTTGTGTAATCCCTTAGTTCTCACCGACTATACTAGGCCTTATCCACTAAGGGAAGTGTTCACCTCTTTCACATAGTGTGCTTTGGCACCAGAAGATTTCAGTTGTTCAGAATTAACCCAAATATATATATTGTGAATGTTATATACTACATAAGTCGTTATTTATCTCACAATCAGTATTAAGGGTGATAATTTGGTGATTCACTAATTTACAAACCTCGCTTCATTTAATACCGTCAGGAAAGATAAAGCAAAAATAGACCATTACTGTTTTATTTCGTTTTCCTCCACCCTCGGAATTTCAACATATAATCAGCTTATATTGAGAGGGAAAGTTCATATAAAAATCACGAAAAATGTCAAGATGTTTCCAAAGACTACTAAGGAGTATCTTTTGCATGCATTTAGACAGTCATTGTAACATTCATGTTAGAAGCTCTAAACTGTATGAAAGAAAAACTTAAAGACCCAAATATGTCAATCAAGAGACTGACGGGTAATAAATATTTCGCGTTTCTCATAACTATGTTTTTAAACTTTCATGTAATACTGTCACGACATAAAGCATATGCTGTTAATCATGTCTGCAACTACAGTCAAAGACAGCTCATTCCTTTGTTACTTTTATTATCTTACTGACAGATAAACACTAATATAGATGTCAATGAGTTTTGAAGAAACGACAAGTTTTTCCTCGGTGGTTCATATTGCTTTTTTGTTAAAAGATCAGGTAATATGTTTAGTAATAATGTACAATCCATAGTTGTTTAGAGAGAATATTAGTTGTTCGTTATCAAAATTACGCATTCTTTATTTTGTTTTAGTATTATACATTTGCTTATACGTGGGAAATGTCTCCGGACATTCGTAACATGGTAGACGACTATTTCAATTGTGAAGATATAGCAATGAATTTTCTTCTAGCACATATAACTAGGAAACCCCCACTGAAGGTGAGTTTACATTTAATCACACTGATTTATCTCTCTGGTCCAACTTCTGTTGAGTGGTACAGTTCTTTTGTGTGGTTGATAACACTTCAAATGTAGAATACTAGTGGACCGCTTATTGAAAGATGTATTGAGATATTTTATTTTTATTTTCACTTATAATGAGTTATACGTAAGCTAACGCAAATCGCCTTTATAGTGAACTAACTTGAAACATATTGAAAGCACGTTTAGTAAACGAATAAATATCCCATTATTCTCGACGCAAAGCAGAAATCATCTTCATACTGTAAAGGATTTTACATTAAAAGGTGTGCTGATCTCTATGTGTCTCGCTCCGTGTTTGCGAAATGTGAACATTGTCGTTTACATTTGAAATGGGATAAACGAATAACTTAGATGGAATTTTGTTCTCTGAGTTGGATAGTTTTTGTTGAAGCTTTTGTGTGAATCTCTTGTGATCCCACAAAATCTTAATTTCATGTATGTACATATATATATAAATGCAAGGTAATTTACCTTTTTGGTGTAGGATGTCTTTGATTTTACTATACTTTTTTTCTTGTGAATTTGTTAGGTTACACTCCATTGGTCATTTGACTGCGTTTACTGTGGTTCTACTCTACACGACCGTCCAGATCACTATGCTGCTCGTTCCCGCTGCATTAATTGGTTAACAAATCACTATGGATATAATCCTCTCATGTACAGTCAGTACAGAGCTGACTCTATATTATTTAAAACACGTATTCCACTCGGCAAACAAAAGTGTTATAAATATATATAATACTTCGTATTACTTATCATATTAATTCATATGTTACATTCTCGAGGATTGTCTAGATCTATCTGCCTTGCGAAAACTGCAGATTCTCCCCGTGTTTCGAGAGATCGCATATTGACGCAAGTCCCCACTGAGAGCCAAAGTAATGCTTGTGTCATCTGACAGTCTCTTCTTTCTAATGTGATAAGATGCGTTTCTATGCCGTCGTATAGGTCTTTCGCTTCGAAGTGTAAGTGTGGGGTAAAAAGTAGGTTCACATTACTTTTTCTAGCCACCATGCAGATAACTGACAACTTATGTGAAGGTATTTCAAATCCTGTTAACAAGCTAGTCATGTTTCATAAACACTGAAGTTTTGTGCAATGAAAATGAAAAGCAAAATAAAGTTATTTGAGTGGGAGTACAGAAATGACTGTTCACATAAATGATTTATATTGAAGAGACGTGGTCTATTAGACGTTATGTACCTCTTTTAGAGTTAAGTATTGGAGTCACCAAATACAACATTGAAGATCGGTCAGTCCATCTGCTCTTCTCGTCACTCAGTTTCCACCTCGTTTGTCCCAAGATTTTGCAAACTAGTTCCATTGATCTTTATGAATTCAGTCTTAGGCTATTTTGTAAAAGCAGTGGTACAATGGATGCCTTGCGTGCCTACCCGCTCGGGTACGACATCTGTTGACTTTGAAGAGATCCCTGATTTCTCCTTGGTAGGCATTGGTTTCTCGTCGAGTTGCGATAGGCTTGTTACCTACATAATACTTCGGTAAAACGTATTTTGGAAGCATCCAAGCCTCGTCCGGGAAATATGGAAGACGACCAGTGAGTTTTTTGCTTACTATGCTGTCATTTCGAAAGTCAAAGAACATAGTAGCAAAATAAGGACAGGAAGACCCATTATTCTGGTAATTCGGTTTGCAAATAAGTATATTCTCATCCTCATGGAATACTTTTAAGGATTCAGTGGACTGCGAAACATAACCACCGGGCAATTATATATTTGGTAAGCAATAAGGAATGTGAATTTGAGATAGCACAAGTCTGTCTCGAGCCTGCGAGATAACTCAAACAGCTTAACGCTTATATTAAGTTTGAGTCAGAGTTTCTACTGACGAAATCAAATAATCTCGTTCTAAGAACCGCTATTATAATATTAACCTGAGATTGTTAGAGAATTAAAAGTCGATAGTCTGATACGATTTGCGACTTTCCAGGATAGCAAGAATTAGGCATCCTAAAAGGTTATTATTCAGTAAGTTATCCTCTAAAATCGTGTTTTTGGTGGTGTTTTGTTCTCTGAGCTGGATGGTTTGGTCGTGGAGCTTTCATCGTTCTTCTGAACGACATCATCAGCACAAACTTCAGATAGAAGTGAAGTGTTCGAATTTCTCCATATGTGTTTCACAGCTTGTTCTGTGCACCTCGATGTTGATTGGTTCTTGTTGACCTTAAATTTGTCGTTGTTTACTTCTTTGTTTTGGTTGTGTCTCCCATTGTTTTGATTTTTGTTCTTATGTTTGTGCATGATTTTTCTGATTGGTTGATAAATTGGATTGATTTCAATATGCATGTTGATTGCTGATTGACCTGAGTGCCAAGCTTCTAAAAATTCTCTGGTGTTTTTGGAGTTTCCTCTATCTAAGATTTCTACATTTTCCCAATCGAATGAATGTCCGTAGTTATCCACGTGTATTGATATAAGTGAAGAGATATCATGTCGTTTAACTGCTAATTGATGTTCGCGTAGGTGGAGGGGGCGTCCGCTTTGTCCGATGTAGTGTTTATCGCAGTTGGTACAATTTATTTTGTAGATGATGTTTGATTTGTTCTCTTTTGTTATTTCATCTTTTGGTTTGCATAGGATTGATTGTAATGATTTTGTTGGTTTGTGTGCCACACCTATCCCGAAGGTTTTCAGCAGTCTCGTTGTGGTTTCTGATATTCCTTGTATGTACGGTAGGGTGATCCTTTTGTTGATTTTTGTGTTTGATTTGGGTCCTGATGCTTTGTGCCGTTGGTGCTTTTTGATGAAGTTGATTGGGTGGCCGTTCTTTTGAAATATGTCCTTCAGGTATTTCTCTTCATTTTTTCGTGCTGCCAGTGTGTTGCAGTGTGTCCTCGCCCTCTTGAACAAAGTGTGTACGCAATTGATTTTGTGAGCTCTTGGGTTGTTGCTGTTGTAATTGAGGACATTTTTTCTATCATATGTAATGTAATGGCTTAATATCATTTCACGCTCTTAACAGAATCATACTGAATCAATGACTGACCACATTGAATAGCAAAATATGTCAAATGAACTTTTCCATAGCGGCCAAGTACTTTGCAACTGATTTACTTTTACTGGACTCCCACTTTAGGAAAATAGTAACGTTCACACAATATATACATGAGACTGCGGGAGGAACCTATGTCAGTCTTCTGAGGAGACATATTCTGTGTAGAGTAAGACAAAATTCAATGTTCTAAGTAAAAAGCTTTCGACCCTTCGGGGCTGATTCTTTGTGATCAGGCAGAGATACTTCTAATTATATAAATTGGCATTAACAATTGTGGCTACGCTGGCATATTCAGTGTATTGATGTAAAGTTTTGAGTTCGTTTCGTGAAGTTATTTAGGTATTTGATAAAGGTATGTTTGTAAAAATATGGCCTACATATAATACTCAAGTTGGTATATGTGAATTTGGAATAATGTAACGAAATATTACTAAAATGTTAAGTTTAGAGCTTTAACAAGACACAATCAAACACTCAAATTCGAACTTCGTAATATGAGTTTGTATTGTTACTGTAATAGGCCTGAACACATAAAATATTTAACTGTACAGTGAACTGGTTACTCACTACACCGCAACACATTCATTTTCTGTTTATTTGTCTATAATGTAGTCTGAATTTATTTGAACTTCTGTTAGGTCTTCTTAATTGTTCAGCACTCTGATTTTTATTTTCTTCATCCGTCTAAAACTCAGAATTATCTAGACAGTCATTATTAACTGGGGAATCGTCAAAACTGAGGTTGAAACTATTTATTTGGAGTTCAGAATTAGAATTAGAGAATGGTCAGAATGAAAATTGGAATCCCCAACTTCACCAGGTCTGTACATATCTGCCGCTAGTTGAATTGTTATTTAAACCTAGAACGTTTACTATCGGACTACCCATTCTTTGAATTATAGTCTACGTGGAAGGTTGGTAGTCATTTTGTTCATCAAATGACCATTTGAACTCGAGTTCGAAATATTCGAGATTTAAGGAATTTATCTAGAATGTCATGAGTTCTTGAACATTCTGCACTACGATTGTGAGTCGAGAAACTAGATGCATTTTTCCAACTCCTAGATTACTTGGACTGAATAACATGATAGTGAGCGGCAAAGAATCCGTCCTTCTGTCCGAGTCAGGTGGTTTTGATCCAACACCATTCAGTGTTTTAGTAGTAAAGGACTTTTACAAAAACTTTTGTGTATATCCAACCTTTTCATATTTACAGCAAAGTACATAACAAAACTTACATGAACTACGAAGATGCAGTTTACCACATGAGTGACGGGGTTTAATACTCAAAGATAAATTAAAAATGCTTGTCGGATCAATCACTTGTCTGAATGGAACTGTTCCTGTCTGAGCTTTCTGCAGTATAAAAGATTTTATCACATTCGATAACAAGGCATCAGGATATTTCGTAACAACAACACGAGGATCATTATTAACATCTTCATAAATTAAATAGCGGTCTCTGCCTGAAAGGCACTGAAAAGGATTTGTATAGTGTTCTCTAGTTTAGAATTATTTATACCGGCAATCAGGCGGTCATGAAATCTGATGTGCAGCTGTTCACCGAAATCGCACTTAGAAGCTTGTATCCGAAGCTGTATTATGGAATTTCTAATAGTCTGATTTGGTGCACGAACTAATTTGTTGAAATGGGCTGTCATGTATTTCGGACGGTTTGACATGAAAATGAGCGGTTGGTAATCTCTTAAGTTTGTTGAACGGAAGTAGGATAGGTTTACCAGGATGTGCCAAATTCTTTAACAAACTATAGGCTTTTCTATCAATAGCAGTAATAAATTAGTATGCAATGCTATCTTTCTTGAAGGTATATGACGAACACCAAGCATCAAAACATTCTAAGCAATCCTCCACTTCTCTCAGGGACAAATTAATGGAGAATTACCCCAAATTATTTGAATCCCTATGTACTGCGACTCCAGGTGTGAATTTGAAATCAGGTAGCAAAATACTATTATTCACAAGTCTAGAACTTCGACAAGACACAACCAAACGCTGAAACTTCAAGCATGAAGAATAAATTTGTATTCTGTTGTTGTATTACGTTTAAATACAACATGAAATATCTGACTGTACAGAGCATTTGCTGGTTACTCATCAGAGTTACTTGAAATTATAAGTGAATACGCTCGAACAAAGTATAAACGCTTAACACTACTGATTATTCAAGATTTTGGTTCTTCCTAGACATAGCATAAAATTTCAGGATCTGACTACGATGATATGAAGTTCTCCAGGCGCTGTACAAGAAAGGCATCATTCGATCTCAATTATAATGGTGAAGAGTGAGATAATAGATCTCTGAAAATGAACTTCAGCAAATTAAATTACTACTTCATACCAGTTAACAATAAAGATGCCACAAGTATTTTGCGTTTGAAAGCGCCTTTTTACGTAACACGTTTATAATCGAGATATACCATTTCAGTCAAATCAGGTATCAAAAATGAAGGAGTCCGAATACTTATTTGGAAAGCTATCGATTTGTCGATAAACTTTGGGTCCCAGGTGGATGTCAGTTGTAAGGGATGCGTAGCATGACGTACCCAATTGTGATCTTGTTCATATGCATAACCGAGTGCTTTCAGCTAGGGTGTGCCTTGTACAAATAATGAGGTCAACTTCAACGTCGAAGACCTACAGAGTTATTTGTTTCAGGGTTTGTTTACCTCAAGAACAACATCCGTCCGCTTTGACAAGGTCAAGTATAATCTAATCATCAAATTTTAAATTATCCGTATAAGTAAAACTCAAACTTCGGAGGAAATCCTTAGCTCTAACCCAATGCGAAGAACAAATGTAGGCTGCTATCAACCAGACAAGTGAAACAATGTATTATTTGTGGTGAAAATTATTTGGTACCAATAAACTCGATAGTCAAGCAAGCATACCATCAAAAACTTTATG